CATAGGGAGGCAGTTATGAGTCCCATGGAGCTGCCGGGGGCTGCCACAGACTCTGGGAGGGAGTCCCCATCACTGGGAGTACATAAGGGTCGGGCTGGGCAGTCCCTGGGGAACTTTTTAGGCAAGAACTTTCTATCAGACAGAGGCAAGCACCAGAGGCTGGACACCCATCTCCGGACCACTGCAAAGGCACCAGACCCTCTGAATTCTCCGTAGCCACCCCCAGGGTCCTCCTCCCCTGCCCCCAGGCCAGGCTGGACGTTCCCAGCCCACGCACTCACCCACGTTGATGGCCCAGCCTCGCTCCACGGCCAGCTTCCCTGCCTTCGGAGACAAGCAGAGAGTGAGAGCACAGCTGAGGCCACGGCTCGCTCCCCAAGTCACCCGCTCACTCCACAACCAGTTCTGAGCATGCGCTGGGGTGGCAACGGGCTGTGGGGTGAGGTGTCTCCCTACTCCCCCCAACACAAACTCAGTCCAGGCAAGCACCAGACCGGCTGGTGTGTGAGACATGCAGGACCTAAGTCCCTTCGCTAGTCGGCAAGGCAGCTAGACGAGATCAAAGAACAGGGGCCAGGCCATGACGCAAGGCCACACCACTGGCCCCCATGGGAAAGGCCCTTGGTTTACACCCTGGGTCCTCGTGCCTGGCTATAACCCGAGTCTGCTGAGGCGGGCGGGACGGTGACAGGAAGACCCTGTGATGGCTGCTCTCTTCATCTCTGTTCTTTCTTTTGTGGAAAAAGTAAATTTTTTTTAAGTACTTATCTTTACTTGTGAGCTGACTTGGATTTTTTTTTTGGGGGGGGGAGAGGTTTTTGCTATAGGGCGCATGCGCTTGCCAGACAGAGAGAGACACAGAGAGACAGAAAGCGAGAAATCACCCCCCAGGGAGGATGGCCACGCCGCAATCCCTTCTCAGTTCTCCTCTCGGGATCTTGGGCACGCACGCACAAGCACCTGGCGTGAGTTTTAAGCCACCAGGTCCGGGACTTGAACCGTGGTCGACTACATGGGAGTCCAGCGACATAGCCATTACACCAACTGCTGGTCCCCTGACTTGGATTTTTAATGTCATTGTGGAGAGTAAATAGACAATGTTTTGCTTATGGAAAGACAATAGACTGAGTACTGTAGGAAAGTATAGCCAGGGGTGGGGCGGTACTACTAGTCTAAGCTTAAAAAAGAAAAAGTACCGGGACCAGCAGTTAGAGTAATGGCTATGTCACTGGACTCCCACGTAGCCGACCATGGTTTGAGTCCTGGACCCGGTGGCTTAAATTTGCGCAGGGTGCATGTGTGTGCATGCCCAAGATCCCGAGAGAATGGAGGAGAAGGGATTGCGGTGTGGCCATCCCCCCTGGGGGGTGATTTCTAGCTTTCTGTCTGT